CAAAGCGCACACTTATAGTTCTCAATGGAGCCCGGAATGGCTCTTGCTTATCTACCAAGCTCTCTTTTTCAAAGTGTGCACTGCTGACTAAGCCGCCCTGGGCTCCCACGGATAGGGGTCTTATATCGTACCCTATAAGATGTTACGATAATCTCACGTCAGTTCAACACATGCGTGGTATATCACAACGCCCGGATATATGGCTTGGAGATATTATCAATGCGATAATGATATTCTGTGTCTGCAAGTGTCCTGGCAATTCAGAGGTTGTCCCGTAGGACTAGGCCTATATGTAAGTGAGAAACAACCCGGGTTCATCGCCTGCTGAGAATTCAAGAGATAGGCCTAACCTACAATTTCCGGGTTATTCGGATAAAAGATTCATTCAGTTATACAGGCAGCCGCAATTGAAATTGAACCAAACAAGAATCTGCCCCCCTGTTGTATCTATTTTCTTTTTCGCCCTTGGCGTCAGTCGCCCCTTTTTACTTTCCGTGTAAGCTGTTGAGCCACTTGGTGGCTGAGCGTCCCTATCAGCCCACCTATGCTACATGCTTGAGTACCTAGGTCCATACAGCCAGCTCTACTTCGATTTTGGCATTTCGGCCTCTGCCCCAAGACCCGAAAGGTACCACCGTATTGACAAGATATAAATAACCTCGCTGAGACGGTCTCACTGGGCGGCCGAGACACGTATGATCTGACTTCAAAAGACCAGTAAAGTTCAGCACGGGTAACAGCATTGTTGCACCACACGACATGTTGTACGATGTTGCAAGCTTACTCTCACGGTACATCTCAAATCACAAGACACTTGCGAGAAGGCTGAACATATTGACTCCAATTGATGAGAAGAATTGATTACATGAGTGTAGTCTCCAACGCGAAGCTATCGTCTGCCGCTATAACCATCAAGATATCCAGTGTTGGTATGGAAACAAGAATCGAAAAGATACCGAAATCTACGGTGATAGATTTTTTCTCGGGGTCGATTCTTACTTTTCAGTATTGAGTTCTCAGCCCCTGACTCACTACTCGGCCTTGATCCGGAACCCGACCTAATACCATCACCAGACACATTGATATTGCCCCCATTGGATCCCGTAGGAGTGAGTTTGCGAGGTTTGTCCGATTCGTATGTTGCGCTTTTGGCGAAACGCTGCTGTCGCTCAGTGTAATAGTCCACATTACCCTCACATTTCTTCTTCATGGCTTCTAGTTTCAGGACCACTTGATAGCATTTAGCCCGGTCCTCTTCCCTGATTCGGATCATGTCATGTGAGATTAGATCCAGGAAATCGTGCATAAAGGCTGTACAGTCCGGATGGCCATGTAACATATCGATATGCTAATTCCTCTGTAAGCCACTTTCCAATACATCATCACGAGAACCTTACTTTTCTGACAGAATCCTTTCGACAAGCTCCAAAGTTTTTCGTATAATCCATATTGAAGAACTTATCTTCTTCTAAAAAGTCGTAGGGAGATTTGTCCTCAAGTTTGCGTTTCTCAGAAAATGCGGCCACTCCATCCCAGCCTTGCAGTAGCCAGGTGAGGAACTCAAGATATAGGCAACCAAGGGACCAAAGATCCCATAAGTAGGATATCTTGCATCTCAAGTCGCCCTCTGGAGCACGGTAGATTCTTGTCGCCATCGGGCCGTTTGTATATTCTCTCCGATAGGAATGGTTCTGATGAAACCGTGTCAAACCAAAGTCTGAGATTTCGAGCAGCCCCCATCTGAGATCCTGGGCTCCAGCTATCGGCACATAGCGTAGAATATTTGTGGGTTTGATATCACCGTGCCTACCCCTGAGAGTATTGCTCTCGGATGATGGACACTGCTCGCCATGAATCAGCTGGAGTCTCTCAGCTATCCCAAGACATTGTTGAAGGGCCCAAAGGCTTATATTTGGGTCCAGGTTTAATGATGCATTCTTCTTCCAGAACATTGCCAAGTCGTCAACGGCCCAGTGGAAGATTAAATAGTATGAGTCGCGATATTCGAATGTTCCGAGTAACTCCACTAGATGCGAGTGGCCGAGTTTTCGGACCAGTTTTAACGCCTTCACTTCTTTGTTGAAGTCTTCATCGGTTGAGCATAATAGTCTTTTAACGGCGAAACGGTGTTCACCAGTCTACAGGGAAAGAACTTAGCATATCCACGAAGTATAGCAGTAGTGAACATACCAAGTCATGATGGCCATGGTGAATGACTACTTGGCTTACTTGGCTGTTGCCCCCAGCAATAGGCGCAGGTATTTGCTCCGTAAAGGGAAGAGGGACCCTATGCTGTATCGAATAGTGATGTATCGTCCCCTCTGTGAACGTGAATATAGGGGCTATGAAGTCCCATTGAAATGAGTCAAACATGTGTGACTTGCCGAAGTCATTACCGAATAATGGAAATGGGCAAGGAACCAGACTTCCATCGTCGTCGTTATACTTCAGCTGTATAGCGCCTGACTGATAACGGAACTGAAGAGGAAGATGTCTGTCCCAAACTCCGGCCTTTATGAAATCGATAATTAAATCGGCCATATTCCCTAATATGAATATGGCCAGTATCCGCTTCCGAGAATAGTTTCGGCGTGTCTGGTCTCTTGGGCAGATTTGGTCGACAATAACAGGCAACTCAGAACCTAGTTCGCAGACCGGCCTGTTAGCCATGAAAGCAATTACGTCAGAGATGGTGTCGCATGTAAACAGCTTATCCAACTCATTGTTTCGAAAGAAATTAACTTTCTGGTCATTATCGCAACCCGTGTCATATATCTTGTCCCTAATTTTAGAGACTATCGTGTGGTCTGAGCTATTTGCTGCGTGATTGTGCAGAGAGAGCTCTGATGCCATGGCATGCAATATATGCAGGTAAAACGTAGAAAGGCAGTATAAAACTTGCTACAATTTGGTGTGGAGAACGGATAAATGAATGGATGCAAGACGATACTACAGTAGCATCTCTATACGCCCTTGAGTGAAAGGAGTGAATCTGGAGGGGCTTATAGTCCGGGCTTTAAGGATTATATAAGATATCGATATGTCATTTTCGTAGTCCGCTAATGGTGAAATAGATAATCGAGGGTCAAGGCAAGCCCGTTGTGCTTTTACGAAGAAAGCCTAATAGTCAATTCACATGAGTATGGAGTTCAGCATCTTGCCACGGCATGGGAGAATGACGCCCGGTCAAACGGAGCGTAGATATTATCAGCCATTTCTGCCTTGGAACTCTTCAGATTGAAAATGACTGACGTCTACCGTTGAGCCCGTGAGCAGGTCCAGATGACCACAAACCAGCAAGCTATTCCTTTCAAGAGCTAGAAGTGTTTCACATCTGTGAGATCCCCCAGCTTTAACACCTACGAAAATTGTTTGTACATGAAGATTGATTCCTGGACGCCTTGCATTTCAATATTATCCCTTTCACGTTTACGGTGGTCGAAAGACAGTGGACATAGAAATTACTTAAGGATATCGCATAAAAAAGCAGAATCACTTCGCCAGGAGATCCTCTGAATAAACACGTATACGAAGACATTTCGAATTACTAGTAGTCGCTAATATAGCGCTTTTGTTTTGTGACAGTTGTTCTTCACATTCCTCTTATTTTCAATATGAGCTGGAGATCAATCACATGCCATCTAGATCTCATAATTGGAACTTGTGACAACAGGAGCCTGTCTGCTTGAGTTAGCAGTTATCAATACGCCTTATCCACACCGAATGTGGAGGCTGCGCCACCCCCAGGGATGCCGCTGCAGATTTTGTGCAGTTCAGGGCTTACTCCGCAGAAGTGTAAAAACCTAGTTATTTCCAACTGGTCAGCCCCGTAACCTGCACGATCTGAGACACCAAAATGACAGTCAATGTTGCGACATGGAAGTGTTGTCTGTGATTGGTTCATTGTACGAAGGCCTGGATGTCTTTAAAATAACTTCAATAGGGGCCTCCTTGCTAATCCTCAAATACCTGTTTCAATCCTCAAATATCTGGCAGGCACTTCCTACTGAATATCACAACTCTTTTCGCAATATCAATCAATTGCCTAGCGGTACATGATCTTACCACTACATTATGGAATTCAAAGCTGCTGAGAGAAGATTGAGCCTAGGCGAACCGATAGAGATAGACACCAAGTTAGTTACTCTAGAGCATCTGATTCACTGCCTTCGCAAATTACTCGGCAGTGAAAAGTTCACGATTGAGGTACCTTTCTTCTCTTTTTAGACCACGTATCATAATTGACTGGATTTAGATGAGACATGATGTGTACAAAATCAAGTCTGGAAAGTCCATCGATGCTGTAAGTCTTTTCGAATATATTTCGATTTTCTCAGTTTGCAACAGTAAAGGCTAATTCACATGAATTATAGCAAGATCTCATTGCCCAATGTCAACCCGGCAGCCCAAACCGAGATAGAGAGTCCGGCACTGTAAACTCCAACACAAAGGTGGACGGAAGCGAAACACAAGCCTGCGACACTGATAGGGTGGAATTTCAAAATGTGTCGGGGAGAATACGCCGATATGAAACTGAGGACGCTCTGATGGCCTTGGTTTCAGAAAAGAATGTCGTAAGCAATCAGAAATATGTATTTTGCGTCCAGGGCAAAGAGCAAATGGAGCATTTTCAGGAGTGTCTGTATTTCTTATCAGAATCCCTTAAAATACTGTTCCTAAGATTCTCGTTACTAAGAAGCTATGTAATAACGATAGTGTTAAAACCATTAAATTCCTCTCAGCCGAGTTGCTGCCGGGGGCTGCATTTATATAACCTTTTTATATAACGCGTGTTTTAACATTGAGTTATAGGATAGTTAGACAGGAGCTTTTGTAGGGCTGGCGGCATATAGTCCCTCAATTAATTTGTGCTCAGGTGCTGTCTCCAGACAGGCCAGGATACATGCTTCATGTTTTCGTTGCAAAACTAGAACTATAAAAAAAGAAGAAAAGATGAACACTATCTATGGCTTTTGATGGAAAATGTGAAAAAAGAAAAACTCTCGATCGGGGAATCGAACCCCGGCCACCTGCGGACCTAATAACAGAAGAAATGACAAGCAGGTATCCTTACCACTAGACCAATCGAGACTAAGATGTAGGTGTTGAAAGGTTGAGATATTTATAAAAAGCCCAGCTTATAATCAACACCACAACTGTGAAATTACTACTCTAACTCATCTGAAGAGGTCTACATTCAACGTCTTGACTCTGTACATTAAGGACATCGACTCAACTAACCAATTCTAACTAAATGAACCTACCACCTAGCATACCGTAATTTACCACAAACCATCCCCGCAGCGCTGGAAGTCGTGCTGGAAGTCAACCGCCAGCAGGGTTGCCGAACAAAAGAGAACCTCGCCGGTAAAAGGAACGCATAGTAATATTCACCGGATATCATCAACTCCGCGTTCCTCAAGTGATAATTCAAATCGCCGGAACTATCTCATTCCTAGAACTGATACCCTCCTCTCCCCCTTCGACCACCGTAGGGCATTCAAGCAAAGAATGATAGAGGCATGTCTAAACAAGTGTACCTCTAGTCCACAATACTTAACCACAACAACAGCTACCTGATTCATTAGCGTCTACCAGGCCGCGGACAACATCTCTTACTTCTGAAGATCAAATGAGACTCGCGCGTGCGTAATAAGGGCTTCATTTCAACCCCTTTTTATTTCTCATTTCAAGTGTACCTAGCGTTCTCATAACCATCTTTACTATTATTCCACGCATAAGCCGGCAACAGTAGGTATCCATCTCTACATCTACTTCTCTTAACTCGGCGTATACCGTAGAGTTGTGCCATCACGTGGTAAGTTCATGGCCCGTAAGAGTACGTTTCATGCTTGATCATTCCGTGCGCTTAGTTTTACAAGCGATCGTAGGTATGCTTATGGCTTAGATACTTAGTTATGAAGTTTCAAGTTTAGGCTTGTGAAGCAGGGTTTATAAAAGTATGGTATTGAGGCTCAATTGCTGCGGTCTGGGGCGATGACGTTTTGATTTGGTTTTTGCTGCATTCGAGCCACGGTAATCAGGCAGGTGATGTAGGTGTTCAGGTGCGGGAAAGACGATGATGATAATGTATGCGAGAGGCACAGCTAATGTTACATATGCTGACCACTAAAAAAGACGACGTGATTAACAGGTACGTGTAGAGGCAGAGGTTTTGAGTACAGTGTATGGCCTGTCTATACCACTTGATAACCAATTGAGCTCTTCATGTCTGCTAGACTATGTACACCACCCCTCTGCAAGACCATGGCGGAGTAATCTAAGGACTTTTCGATTCTAAGGGTTCCCTAATCGGACAGCGGGATTCTTCTGTACAAAGTTCAAGTCTACCCTGTGACCCAGCAAGTCTCGAATGTTGTTAATGCCATATCGAATCATAGTAGGACGTTCTAGCGATAGTCCCCAACCATATACACGCATGTCCTTACTGTCACAAGATATCAGTTACTTCCACTATCACTGCAAATAGAACGAAGATTAATTTAATCCCCGTGGGACGAGTACTTACGGCAAACCCATTGCCTCAAGCATTTCGGGCCTGAAAATTCCACTGTTTCCTATCTCTACGAGCTTTTTCAGACCGGGATCTGCGATTAGGTTGTTAGCGCTTCTTGCAAAAAGGGGAAGGAGGCGATATTTTCCCGAGATACGCATCACACTAGTCAGATACGACTGGCGTGGCATAATCCTTGTAATAAAAAAGGAGGCCTTGAAAGCGCCAGGACGGATAGGCATATACGGGTAGTAGTCGGAAATAACATACGATATGAGAAGATTTCCATGCTTGGTTCGGTGTCTGGATGTATAGTTAGTGTGCAATTCGAGCGTGAGGTGTGTGTAGTACATACAAGGGTTATACGCCGGTTTATACTTGAGGCCTGTGATACCCATCTTGCCGAAGAAAACATCCATGAACTGGAGCAGTTAGTTTTTGCGTCAATCACAGGATAATGAGGGACGAACCTCCATGAGACCGCCGAGCGTCAAGTCATAATCAGCAATTATACCCTCAACTTGGTGGAACTCCGCGAGATGGGTGTTGTCGATGGCTTCGTTTCGAAAGACGCGGTCAATGGAAAAATAGCGCGCGGGTGGTGGACGGCCATCAGGACCCTTTCTGGATGACAGTTTATGTAGCATGCTGGCGCTCACAGAAGTCGTGTGAGTGCGTAGGACCAACCGTTGCGCCTCATCTCCGGACCACGGGTATCGGTATCCAAGTGAGTCGTATTTACCGTCCTACATCTATCAATAACCATCACGGGAAAAGGCTATAATCTGCGACTCACTTGATGTACAGCTTTCACATTCTCCCAGTATGTGTGGTCAGATGGCATGCCAGCGACTGCCGGGTCAGAGATATAGAACTATGGGATGTTAGTGAGTCCATTCCAAGAGCAAGGAACGAAGCGCCATACCGTGTCTTGTAAGTCGCGGGCAGGGTGTTGCTGCGGCACGAAAAGGGCGTCGAAGTTCCAAAATCCTGTCTCGACAAAACTACGAAGGCGATAAGTATCCACCAGTGTCTCTAAGATCCCCGGGATGTACGGATCGCGCGTACCTATCCGTAGGCATCTCTTCAAAGCCCAGTTCAAAGAAAATGTTCCTGATTTCAGCCCGGACTTTGTTCAGTGGGTGTAATGCACCTGCTCGTTGGTCGGCGCCTAATGCCTGGAAATTGTATGGTTTGAAGGTAGTCGTCTTCCAGGATGCATTGGCTAGCATTTCAGCTGTAAGGTCGGTAGCTTCCTCGGGCAGCTCGAGGGCAAACTTCGGTCCCTTGTTTATCTTGAAGCTAATGACTTTCTGGACTCTGACGAGCTTGCGCTTCTTGAGGTCAGCGAGGACTTTCGGATCGGCGACGGTTCGACTCGTCTTAATGGATCGTAACTGCTCCTTGGCGGCATCGTGGATGGAGTCGGATACGGCCTTGAGCTTGCCGTCTGGGACAAGAGCGTTAGTAATGGCGATGCGAGCGAGCAGCTATGTCTCGTCGTCTACCTTTGGTCTTGGTGATCCACTTCTCCTTGAAGGCTTTCCCTTGGCCGAGCTTGGAGATGTTCTTGTCGCCAATGGTGTTCTCCAACTCCTGAATCGTGAGTCCGCCGACGACGGCCCGCAGAGCCTCAAAGACACGGGCCTCGTGGCTCCCATGGGTGGCAATCAATTCGCCTTCGGGCTCGAGCAGGACCTCGTCCCGTTGGATCGTCTCATACTCGACCATCGACCGCGAGCCCAATCGGTCGAGAGCGGCTTTGACGTCGGTCGAGCTGCATTCTGGGAAGTGTTCTGCCGATAAAAGAGGAGCTTCCGTCTTGTCGAGGGCATTGAGGATTCGAGACGTCAGCTCGCCGCCTTCTGCCGGAGGATGTGCCATTGTCGGTGTTTCCGCTGCTATGAGTCAATCATGTGTGAATATCGTATTTCCCAAACGGAAACAGGTAGGTACCCTTGGAGGGGCTGACGCCAGGTACCGGCCCGCACTCTTCCACCCCTCCACCCCTCCACCGCTAAAAAGCCGATAAGATAACGCGGCGTCGTTAAAAATTAGCGGTCAGAGGCGGCAGAACCTTTAGGGGCCGCCGCACCTCGGCGATGAGTCAGCAGAGGCTCTTGTACTAAGTTCTCATGTTCGATGGATATGTACTTGAATATTCTACACTACCTTAGTATAGCTGATTTATTTACTCGCGATATCATTTCTCCTAGAAGTCTATTTACAAAAGAGGCCATGGCTTGAATCGGATGAGATGACTTAATCATTGGATGAATTCTTCCCAAAGATGACTTGGGCCCGTCCGCGTGAGGGTCTTCAGTAGAAGCGCATTCCCGTTCCTCGCTAACACTCATCATATGATACCCTTAACAACACTCATAAATGCCATCTATGTGCACTACCTATGCAGTTCCCTCAAGGCGTGTTTGCAGGATAGAATACCTTTCAAAAGCCGCCTCTTCTGTGACGTTTCCTGGTCTGACCTTCTATCTCCTTCAAGAGCGTCTCTGTTGATTTGCTTTGAAATCCTTCACGGCAGGCCTCCTTCAATCGTGTGCTAGAGGTTCGATCTCTTCACGCTTTACCTAATCTTTAGCTCTTCGTGTAATCTGCTCAATAATATCCTGTAGGCTGCAGGTATTATCTCATCCTTCTCTGCGGTTGGTTGATCTTCTATTGAAGTGAACTCATGGGCTAGTGCCCAGCCTGGGGCCTAAGCGTTCAAGAGACAGGCTGGACCTACACTTCCTGAGGCCTTGAGGCCTTGGATTCTCACCATTAACGATGGGTAATCTAGCGACCTTGTTCAAACAGCATTAATTCTCTAAAGAATATGCTTTTGTACTATCAGTTGTGTCTGTTCCCGTTGCCTATTGACTCTACTGAGATATCCCTCTTTATAGCTCCTTTTCGACATAGCCACATGTATGCTGACTAAGCACGTTCTATACAGGGCGAGGGGGGTGCATTGCCTATCGGTTTCTGTAGCTCTTTTAGATACAAATGTTCAGGTCCTCCGCGATTTACAGTCTAGTTCACGCCAGCTACCGCCTTTTTAGCTAGTTTCTTATTTCGTCCACCTCTCCTCCCGATACCACGCGGATCGTCGAAACGTGCATTACCCGTCCATATCAGATCGACCCCGGCCAATCCGCTCAAGTCGAGGCGTTCAGGGTGTCGCAGCGTGATTGTCCATTGGGTAAATGGAGTGGGCTTTGCATGGTCTACGCTGGGCCAGGTAGCGTAAATGTGCGTGTCGCCTTGGTCGCCAGTTTCGGTGAGATCATACGAGAACCGTACGCTCCTGGGGAGGCTTGTGAAGTGGTAGACGTCCCCATCTTGAATATCTGCATAAACGCCCGACGTCGAGATCTGCATATCCACCGCGACCTGGCCATCCTGTATAGCGTCCGGTGCAGGGACCGCTCCGCGCAAGACTACATCTAGACCGTCCAACCGGAAATGGGAGCCTTCGGTGAAGACACTGGCAAAATTTGGGGCCTTGCTGAGGGCATCGCTGGGTACAAGTGTGAATCTGGCACTATGAGTGTCACCACGAAGGCCTTCAATCATC